GGCCATTCACATAAAGAAAACTAAGCTGTGCATACGAGGGAGAGTTGCTCAAACACTTCTACTATCATGGTAACAACTTTGTTAATTTTTCATGACTTAATTTTGCATGTTTTCTTGTCTCTCTAATAGCTCATAATCCTTGTATTCATTCAGAAGTCTTACTTGATTTCACATTCTCTACTTTGTTTCTATGTGCATCCTGAGTACAACTCAATTACCAAACTATTCATATCACTACGTAACTTCTTTTTGACGACTGTTTGTGACACCTCATCACCTTTGTTACTACACTAGTTTCATTAACACCCAATTTTCTTGAGCGTTTTCGTATTACGGTACTCCAAACCAAAGTTACTAATTCTCACCGCTTTACTTAAAATAACCATAACTAATTGTATTTTGGTTTGAAATATATATATATATATATATATATATGAACTGTGATCAAGATTTGACAGAATAGTTCGAAAATAATTGGACGTCGAGTGACAAGTAGACATCTGCAAAAATAAAACTTTTGTAAATCCTCAGGGAAATCCAAATGAGTAATTCCAACGTTTCCTACCTTCAGAAAACTGATCCGAACTTCCTCAGGGAACTTAATCGAAATTAAAACAACAGAGGTTTATATATCAATAAAAAGGACATCTTCTGTTTTGAAAATCATTGTCCAATCATATGAGTCATGAAGCAGTCATAAAAATATTATAGACAAAATTTCATGAACGGTGATCGAAATTTGATCTCAGACATATTATATTAATAATTCACCTGAGTCAGCCATCCCCATCCCCATCACCTCGAACACACACTCAACATCTAACTCTGCAGTCTGAGTGAGAAGTGAAGTTACCAAGTGAACAATACTCTTTACTCACATATCAAATCACATCACACCACACCACACCACCGATCACCTCTCTCTTAACATGACATTTGCACTAACCATAACCAGTAACAAACTCCTCTCCAACAGTTCGTATGATCATCGCCACTAATTCTCCTCGAAATATTACCAAGACAATTAAAACCAACCGACCAACTTCGCATTGTGTATAAACTATTTAAAAATGAAATTATAATTATAATTAACTTTACTTCTTTGAGGGCACACATTCCATTCCCATCGTCAACTACTACTCACCGTAGTCTTACCACCTTTTCACTTCCACTGTCTTTCATGATGACCATGATGATGATGACCCAGTAGTCTCTCACACAGCATATTCAACAAGCCTCGAGTAGCTCATCGACCTTTCTCATGTCAATGAAGAATCTGTGTCCATAGCTCTCTCACTCGCTGCTGTCTATCCTGATCAGGAGAGCTCACACGAATAGACGAAAATAAGGAGGACGATATTGATGCGATTCGGGTGGTGTGACACACTGGTCATCGCCCTGTTTTCTCACGCCTTTCCCTACACTACTTCAGTCTCTCTTCCTCTCAATCCTCATGCCTGCCTGCCTGTCCTGTAAGTTTCACAAGCATACATCACTAATGTCATCCAATTTCTCATCTTCCAATTCAGCCTGTTCCAGTTCAGGCAGTTTGGCTGTTGATTCATTGATAGACTGATCAATCGATCGAACGAAGGCGTAGACTAAACATTGTTATGTTATATTATGCGATGTGATGTGAATATATCATAAAAATAAAGTATTACTATATTTCAATAGTTTACACACAATGATAAGTTTTGTTGTTGGTAATCTTTCGAGCGGAATTACTGCCCGTGTTCACACCACTGTTGGAATTGTTTTATTCACGCCAGTGACTACAGTTTTATTACATTGCTGGGTCATGAAAATGTGGTTAACTTCCCAACTCGACAAGATACTTTGCTTGATTTAGTATTCATAAATGATTCTGGAATATACGAAGCTCGTAAAAGAGCTCCACTCTCAAACTCTGATCACTGTATTGTACGAGTTCTGCCCAAAGTTTACGGAAAGTAACACGAAAAGCCTTCTCTAACTTGTCCAAGAAAGTTGTTCACAGATGTTACTCAAATGAGAATGTACAACATCTTAGGAACATGCTCAGTGACACAAGATGGGATCTGTTTAATGATGTTTCACTTGATGACACAATCTCTAATATTACGTCTTATCTGAAATTCTGTTTTGAAATCTGCTGCCCAAAAGAAACACTATTCGTCAAATTCGACCGTTTCTCCTCCCCTCAACTTAAAAAGCTTCGTAGAGAGAAGGAAAAGCTATATAAAATGAAAGATAAAAGTGGTGTAAGAAGAACTAACTTCCTTATCAAGTCTGAAATGCAGAGATTGAATGTTACATATAACCAGAAATTCATATCCTGCAAAAATGCTTCAAATATGTGGAAACTATTTAAGGAAATCACTGGTGGTAAGCAGATTAACAATATTCCGTATTCTTCTGATGTATGTACTCTTAATAAATCTTTTATTTATTCTCCCTCAAATTCCATGCTTCCCAGTATCACTAGTGTTAATAATAGCCCCTTTCCAGGTTTTAACACAAATGATGTTCAAAAGTGTCTCAAGTCTCTGAACCCTTCCCAGAGCTTAGGTCCAGATCATGTACCTAGTATTATTTTCAAAAAATGTTCTGATATTCTATGTTACCCTCTCACTGATCTGTTTAACAAATCTTTTTCCAGTAATACTGTGCCTGCTGTTTGGAAAGACATTAAAGTTGTACCCATACCTAAATTGTCTACTGGAGCATGTGTCAAATTTACACCCATTGCTATTACCTCTCCTTTTTTGAAAACTATGCAGAAACTACCTTTACTTAGTCTTGTACCCTCTCTTAAATCCTTTAATGACCCAAAACAGTTTGCCTATAAGCACAGTAGAAGCACTTTAGATGCAGCCGCCGTCTTATATCATAACATTGCTTCCAGTCTAGACAAAGGGGCTAAATTTGTTCGTTGTGCCTTCCTAGACTATACATCTGCTTTTGACTCGGTCCCTAGGGACATCTTGTTAAATAAACTTGCTGTAAGTCAAACAGAATGTTGGGCTGCTAACTGGTTACATTCTTATTTCTCAGAAAGAAAGCAGTACACCGTATATAAAGGGAAGTCTTCGACTTCATTACCTACTGAAGCTGGTGTCCCTCAAGGCGCTGTCCTTTCTCCTTTTCTTTTTTCTTTCTTCTTACATGACTTGCTTCACTCCGATGAAATAAACTTTGTGAAGTACGCTGATGATTTAGCTGTTTCAATGGCTGTTAACTCCCACCTAGATTGTACCAAAATAAATAGCTTTCTGTCGGGAGTCAGTAAATGGTCTGAGTCTAACGGTCTTAAACTGAATCCTTCTAAATGTCAAACTGTTAATTTCAGCTTAAGATGTAAACGACAGTTAAAAGAAGCCGTCGATTCTCATGACAGTTGTAAGATTGATGACAATGATATAGGAATTAAAAAACTGAAATTAAGTATCTTGGACTTATTGTCTCTTCCGATCTCTCCTGGTCTTCCCATGTCTCAGCGATCTCCAGTAAAATATTCCGCCTGACATTTTACATTAAGAAGTTAAGGCACTCGGGTTTAACTCAACCCCTCCTCTTACAGTTCATAAACTCTTGCATCCTACCTATTCTTCTTTATTGTTCACCCCTGCTTATTCCTTCCTGGTTTACTTAAAAAGGACTTTGTCACAATTCGTAGAATGCTGAAGACTGTCAGTAGGATGAGTGGTGTCCCAGTGGACTACATAGTTAACGTCGTTGTCGATAGGCATTTGACTTCGTGCAGTAAATTTGCTAAAGGGATTTTGTTTGACTTGGAGCACGCACCACAGCACCCTCAGCTTTCACCTTGCATCTCCTCAGGTAGAACAAGAAGTGACTTCAGAAAACAGTATGCTCGCACATCTAAGTATAAAAATTCTATCATACCACACTTGGCCCGTATTTTATGTGATGAAAATAGCGTCAGGCAAGAATTGACTAACTTTTTTTCATCTAGTAAATAAACAATCTCCTCCATCCATCCTTATATGCCTTCAAGTTTCACTTTTATTATTTCTATTATATTTATGGTCCTGTTGCTTCTTTGTTTTTACTTTCATAACTGCAAACACCAACTTATCTCTATGACTGCTGTAATCTTTGTTTTTTCCCTCACCATATCATGTAAAGAGAACATTATATTCAATGTTTTTAATCATGCAAGGATTTGTATACCGCATTGACAATACTGTGTGAAACAAGCCCATGGAAATTTTCACTTGTATTATTATCATTATTATTATTTCCATTTTATATGCTGCATGTCTTTTATTTTTTTATATTAACCCTATTGTAAATGTGGAAAATTTTCTATGTGATTAATTTTATTTATAATTTGAGGAAATTAGATGCAATATTGTGAATAATGCTGAAAATTCCATTCTGTATCACAAGTACTGTTTTCGGAATAAAGTAAATCATTATTATTATTATTATTATTATCATCATTGTGTGTAAACTATTGAAATATAATTATACTTTATTTGATCTAATCCACAATGCTCAAACTTTTTACGGGCATCATGAAAACTTCAACATCTCGTTTTCCACCAATCATGAAGTAGACATGAATAAATCAATGAGTGAATGACTGAATGAATGAAAAGGATTGAAAATCTGATGTAGACCATAGAAACACGCACACACACACGAACACGCCCACAGCTAGACAAAGAGACACAGAGAGAATGAGAGAAGTGGTCATAACCGCTTGCATGCATGCACGAAAACAAACAACAGGCCGATTATTCACCAGTAATTTCTACATTGAAATGGAAAACAAAACAAATCACAGGCTGCAACAAACAACAACCAATGAGCATGCTTGGTTCCAAAATCCTGTGACCTTAATCACCAGAAAACAAGGCCAACATGTCTAGCCAACACTCGTGTATGACCTTGTGACGAAAACCACTGGAACATCCAATGACAACCCTTCCATATACATACACCTATGATAATAAGTTAGACACTGTCTCTATATAATATCAACATATATACAAAAACACGCAGAAATATACCAGAGAAATACACTAACCGAGAATAACACCACGACATACTGAAACAAATTACGGAATATCTGCAAAACCTCTCGGTTATTATAATTATTACTACTACTACTATTATTATTATTACTATTATTATTATTTATTATGGCCGATACATCTGCGACACAGAATGATGAAGCAGTCAAAGAACAAGCAAAGCCAATCACACCACCGATGACATACAAAAAGAACGAGGTGAAAGAATTCACACAACTACTAATCAAATACAAGAATATGTTGACGGACAGAGAAAGAAGTCCGCGATCACTGCTGATGAAGAAAAACATGTGGGTGCGATTCTCAGAATATCTGCACTCGAAAGGATATCCGAGACGACACTGGACTCGACTCCGTTATAAGGGATGGAAAATTCTGAGAAAGCTGAATCTCACCATGACAGACAGACTGGCCTCAGTGTGTCCCGATATTCCGAAGTCTTCTGAATCCGTCTCTATTCATCACGTGGTGGTCAGTGGTAATGGAGATTCCGATGTGAGTGGCCAGTACACTTCGGTATGTTCACATTCCATAACAACATGTTAATCCTATTGAATGAAGGTAGGTAATGTTGACTCGAGTGTTCGTCAATTGAGTCTGCCGTTACTGACTCCCTCACCATGTGTTTGGATGTCACAGAGACCCCACATCAATTCAACGCCTTCTACGGTCTCCACTGACACGAATCCTTCAAACACGATGGGTCTGAGAATCTTGAACGCCTACTCAATAGCTCCTATCCCCCAGAATTTGTGTGTTCCATACGACTCAGTGGAGAAGACTGTGAATCGTACGAATAGGAGCGACGAGTTGAGTAATGGAGTTCGAGCACACAGTGGAGTGAATGAATCTGTGAGTGTTTCGAATGGTGTTGGTGAGGTGAAGGGTTGTCGTGTTGGCGATGTGGGAGTTGGTGAAGGGTGTGTTGGAGGAGGTGGTTCTGGCGTGAGTGAGACTATTGATTTGTCGTTGTCAAGTGATGACGAGAGTTGTGAGGAGATGGATGTGAATGGAGTTGGTGATGATGGAGTGGGGAATGTTGATTCAAGTGACCGGGGTTATAGGTGAGTAATGATATTTGTTATGTTAATTTGTCCTACATGTTCTGTCATGTGATGTGACGTGATATAGTGTGCTGTGCTGTGTTGTGGTGGTCCTCGTTGGTCACTTCTCTTGACTGGTCCCAGATTGTCATAGAAGTGGTTATAGACATATCAAACGAATGTATTGTCTATTTCTGCAGCTGGAGCAGATACTGATTGCATCTACGCAATATATTACTAAGGGAGAGCTTTGATTTTGAGAAGAAAGTGTCTAAAAGATCATCAGTTATGTACGACTTACCAAGTTATACAGACTTCCTCATATAAAGTGGTTGCATCTGAATGTGTAACCGTCAATAGCCAGACCGTGAATACTTTTCCAGAGTTATTATCCCTCCACACATGCATGTTTTTTTCCACCCTGTCAACAACACATTATCTACAGAGAAGTGAAAAAGCAAATGTAGGCGACACTTTCAAAGAGGATTACGACTAGGAAGCATTTGTAATGCTGAGCTATCTGATTAGTCAAATCAAGGTGATTTAACTTTGGTGTCTATTGCTTACTGTTGCTGTAATTCGTCAACTTTCTCTATTGACTGAGATTATTCGTGGATTTTTTTCATGGATTGTTACTTCTCTGACTTCACTGTGACTTAGTCCGTGACTAAATGACAATTATCTCTGAGATTACTGTTCAACTAACTTTGTATATATAAAGGTGTGAATAAGTGTGTGTGTGTGGGGGGGGGGTTGGGGGCTTTGAAGTAGAGTTGCACGGAGGGATATCTTTCCTGACTGATGTGTTTGTAAGTTACTGGTTATTCTGTAGAAAAGCAACAATAGAAACTGGTCCCTCTATTGCAAACGTTATTTATATATATGTCTAACGACCCAATGAATAAATGAATCGATGAGTGACTGAATGAATGAATGCACTACCTGAAGGTTTAGTACTGATAAGCGAAAGGAGATAGAAAGAGAGGAGAAAGGCTGAGTTACTTGGAAATATGCTGTGAAATATCCTGGACTATTGCATTTAAATAGAATGAAATGTTGAGGTTTGTTTGGGACATAGATTTTAGTATTTCATTGGGTAGTTTGGGTGAAGTATGCATTGTGAGGATGTGCATGTTACCAACAAGCAGGTGAAAGCGAAGGCAGAGGAAGTGCAGGAGGAGTAGGAGGAGGACGGTGACTACGGCGACGAAATGACGTCCGACTCAGTTTGTGTCATCGAGAGCTTATTTAACAAGAGACATCTAGGTACAGAAAGAGTCAAAAGGAGAAGTGAAGTCGAGAAACGTGCAACGAAGGCATTTGGCACAGGAGTTGTTGACATCTGTTTCGTCGCGTATTGGTACTGTGCTCTGATACGTTTCATCGATACATATTGTTTATTCATGTGTTCGTGTGAGACCGACTTAGGGAGAGAAATAGACAACGAGTGTATCGAAGGTGATTCGTACAATTGGTAATGAAGTTAAGGTTAAGGTGGAAAGTGTGGAAGTGGGGAGGTAATTGAGAAGACTACGGGATTGTTTGTTGTAGGTGGTTGTGGATAAGTTAGTAGTCGGACATGATATTGAGGAGAGACAGATTTTGTTGTTGGTGGTGGTGTTGAGTGTTTCGACCTGTAGTTATGTGACCGTTGTTGTGGATTTCACAACTTCTCATACTTACTTGAGTTATTTTGTGAGGAGTAAATAACAGAATTTTCTCTCCCTGTAGATGTGATGTGGATGAGAGAAGAAGACGTGAGTCGTTACTGTTTGAGAAGAAGATGCGATGTCTGGATTTGGAGATTGAAGCTGTGGAAATGTGGCTTGAAAGTATGAGAATGATGAAAGAATATTATTGTAGGAAGTGGAATTCATTGTCGCAATCTTGAAGACAGAATGAGGAAGGAAGTACGCGTAAATCAGATATCCCTAGTTTTTATTAATTTCGATATTTATAATAAATATTTACATGTATGTATTCACTAATGATGTCTTTTTGAATGAGTTACTGTAGCGTGTAATTTGAAAATAGTTTTGGTGAGTAATGTGGCATGTGTTGTGAAAGAGAGCATGTGTAGCCAGCCAGCCAGCGAGCGACTTAGTTGGCTGGCGTCCTCCGGTGTAGAAGGTGTTCTGGGAAATGTGAGTTTGATTTTGTCTACTTATGATGATGGGAGCCAGCCCGACGATGTGGGTGTTGTGAGTGATTGAAATGACGACGTGGGATTTGTTTTGACTGATAGTTGTTGTGCTTGAAACATTGTGTGTGTGTGTGTGTTTGTGGTTGGGGGGTGGGGTGGGGAGTACAGGTGATGGATTTGTGTTTGTTTTGTGATTTCGATGATTGATAAAATGTGTTTAGGTGAGATTAATCGTACAGTTGCTGTTGTTGTTGTTGTTTTTGTTGTTGCATTGATCGAATGGAAATGGATTGTGATGAGGAGAAGAGACACGTTGGTTAACTAACCATCCATGCATCGATGCGTGTATCCTGTGTTAGAGAAATCGGCCTGATGAACTCATGATATTCAGCGTAAACAAGTGAGTAGTGGGTGAAATGTTCATGTTGAAGTGTGTTGAAATAGCAAGACTCTGGATAGAGTCTGTGTTAGTTAGTCAGTTTGTTTAGTAAGCTTTGATTTATCAAATGATAGTTTGGTTAGACATCTGGTGTTTTCTCGTGTGGCTATATGAATGTGAATGTGAATATGTGATGGATGATGGGTTTGAGGCTGAATATACGGAGGTCAATGTATTTTGATGAGATGTTGGTGGAGAATGATTTAAGAGGTTCATGTTCACTGACAATCGAGGTGATAGGATCATGTTCAACTAGGTGTTATAGTGTCATGATGATGAGGGTAGGGTCATGATGCATCGAATCGTTTGTGTAGTTAATAATTCCTGGTCATATTTATTCAGTCAGTTAGACGGATGGATGATTTGATTGGTGTGTGGAGAGCATAGTTGACTACTTTTCTTATTCTGCGTCTGAACCTTCATGACTTGTGTTCGATTTGAATTGTATTCATGCTGATTGTAAACTTGAGATGAATAATGAAAATATGCAGAGAATGTAGAGACGAGGAGGTGGAGGATTGTGCGTGTGTGTGTGTGTGTGTGTACTGCATTCTGTAAGTGCATTAATTGATTGATTGATAAATTGGGAAGACGAAATGTTTGTTCGTAGAGGCGTAAAAATGAAGGATGATGTGATGTGATGTGATGTGGTGTAGTGTGGTGTGGTGAATTTAGTGAAAGAGCAAGGCAGATCATGCGTGAATGTCATGGCTGAATGGAGTAATTATGAATTTGTTGATTGCACACAAGACTAGGTCTACAATATTGACTGAACTTGTTCCTTTCTCACACAGATCGATGATCAGTGGTTGGTTTAAGCGAATTGCAACAACCTCTGCTGCTTCTAGTGTTCAGTGTCTAGAGGCATTTGGCATGATAGGAGAAGATTGTTCAATGCTCGTTTTCTGGTGTGTGTTGGACCAGGTGTTCTAGTATAGTATGTAAGTAACTGTTGATGGCTTCTGCTACATGTTTATTCAGCGAGACTGGTAGGCATTTGCAAACATGAAAATCAAGTAGGTGATAGACGAGAAGAGCTGTTTTCGACTTTCTTGACGATGTAGTTGGTGATGAACTGTTCGGGATAGCTACTTTCAGTTGTAGCGTTGTATTCAATGTTAAGTTGATCATCAATTACACCTTGTGAAAATACAGCTGTGAAACTGTAACAAGGTGAGTGTCGCTACCAAATTTCTTTTGTACTGCAGAGAAATGAATGTATGAAAATATGTATATATATGGATTAAATGCATATATTGTTCACTTTAGCTTGCTGCACGATGAAGAAGTGGTTGGTTTTGAGGCAAGAAGTCTGTACACTGAAATCCGAATTAGCGGAGCTCTGTAGGTATTTAGGAATGATGAGGTGGATATTGATGGTCAACTGAAAATAGGACCGAAGTATCGCTTTGAAGTGGTTTCTGCCTACACATATATATATGTATATCGCGAATTGGTAGATGTTGAGATTGATGGACTAGCCATTGGATTGGGTCCAAGTGTCTGAATGGTCTACGATCTGTCCTCATGGTCGGAAGGTGATGATGTGGGACACTGTCGCGAGGGTACCGCTGAGTAGTGTCATACTAGAACGAAATATCTGTCCAGTATTCCCTCCCTGGTTTCCATGCAGCCTAACAATTATTTCTCAGAATAGTCGACCTCTTTAATAATGTATATCTATCTCACTTATGAAGGTGAGTGAAATTATCATTTCTTGATTGCATTGTCTTTCATAGATGTTGACAATGATGCCTGTATGACAATTATGTGGTTAAGAATGATTTGTCAGATAACCGGGAGAGCGTATGTTGAAGCCGTATGTTCGACTCGTGACCCAAGGGAACAACAGTGCATATAATAATAAAAAGACAATCAAGTTAATTGGTAGTTACAGGAAGGAAGGAAGGAGCGGTCAGCCTAGAATGTTCACATTTCAGATTCGGTATTGTAATTAGGTGTGTAGAGAATATTGACTGGAAACTGTGAGGACTACAAATTCTGTGGATATTTATTTTCGACTTTCTGAGTCATCTACTTCCTTATGAACTTCTCCGGACAGCTACATTTAGTTAAGCTATCATGTTGAGTATTTAGCTCGTCGTGAGTGATATCTTCCCAGTATACAGTTGGCACTTTATAGCTGAGTGACATTGTCTGATTACTTTTGTACATGTTGGCTGACACGAAACTATGGGAATGCGTACATTGTCCTGTCCATTTGCTTTTCTCAAATGGACTTCATTTTATGTGATCTTCTTGTGACAAAGACACCGACGAAGGTGATTTACCCTTGGGATTCTTCTTCATACGTGATTTTGATGGTTGGATGTATTTCAAAATTCATTGAAATGGCGGTGTATCATGCATGATGTTATCTGAGTCATTTTGACAAAGGATAAATACACCATCTAATCTATGTGTCGACAAAGAAATGTG